GCATCACGGCTTCTCATCGCTGGTTACCTCCCCTCGCGGGCCGCCACCGTTTAAGGAAGCCTTGACTTTGCCCCACATTCCAGCCAGCCCACTTAAGGTAGCATTTCCGACACGCTCTGTCCCTCAACACGGAGCCCTCACCTGGCGGGTCTCCTCTCCCAGCAGGCCAAGCGGAGCTGCAGACAGAAGGAGGCTCACGAAGAGCATGGGGCTAGGGGTACAGCGCCCCCAACCCCAGCCGGGCTCCCTAGAGCCGCGCATGCGGTCCGACTTCCGAAGAGGCCCCGGAAAGTCAGGTGACTCACATTCAGCTGATCCCTTTAATGGGCGGAGTCGCCACACCAGCTCTTAAAGAGACCGCCTCCCGAAACTCAGACAATACCTTCGTGCAAGCCAGACAGCTCCCATCAGATGTGGACATGAAAGGGTTCAAGATCCAAATGGGATTTTGAGAATGATGAGGGCAACGAATGTATAAGTGTGCTTTACACAATTGATGTATGTATGTATGGATTGTGCTAAGAGTTGTATGAGCCCCAATAAAATGATTAAAAAAGATCCAAATGGGGTGCCAATCAAAGTCCGTGGGAGAAACTGCACCCCAGAGGGCTCTTTTGTCCATCTGATATTCATTTGAACTTTCACATAGGCAGGCTTTTATCCTGAAGGGTTAACAATTTCATTGTGGGGATGATAGGCTCTAAAAACAGGGTCTTGTCAAAAGAGGAAAGGGACCCTAGCTGGTTGATGCACTTTTTGTTGTCCCTCCCTCCCTCCCCCCAGTCTTTTTTCCTTTCGACTTAATAATACCCACTGCCATCAAGTCCCTGTGGACTCCCTAGGAAGGGGCCTTATATCGTTAGGGGTGCAGCCTCATTTTTCTCCCAATAATACATACATACAGAACATAACCCAGTAGGTATCAGTCGTACCCAAACCAGCAACCGGACTCCTTCAGTGGTAGTGGGGGTGGTGTCGGGGAATCTCTTTCTGATGTATCCTTCTAAATATATTGTCTGCAAGGTCAAGAATAGGTACTGTATTTAAGTAAGTACTGGGCAGGGATAGCACCTGAATTGTTTCATTGAAGAGATTGAGTACCGTTCCCTATCCATATACTTGAGCTGCCTCATTCTCCACACTAATGCAGGGGGTATTGTGGGGATCCATCTAACAGAAGCTTGCTGACCGTTTTCACTATTTCCCTGTGGCCAACAATGGAGCAATGTTCCTGCAGCACTTCATGTATTTGCAAGCAAACCCATAGATAGGACCAGCCCAAAGGGCCCCGGGCAGGAAGTTTACACACTGCTTCTCATGTCCACTTCTAGCATCTGCCAGATTGAATTTGGCTTGCTCTCTAAAAGGTAAGCATCTCGTTTTACAGGGCATTCATTTTTGTTATCCTGGGAGCTATGCATATTTTTCCCCCTAAAAGCCCTTTAAGGAAATTCACATTTTGCCACACAGATATTTTAATGTAGTTACATTTCCTGGTAGGCTATGCATTTTTAAATCCTTCCTTTTCTGCCGCTTGTTTTTAGTTAAAAATATCCAGCTGCTTGGAACATAATTGTGCCATATTTATTGCTCTAGCCCAGTGGTTTTCAACCTTCATAATGCCAGACCCTCTCATACAGTTCATGTTGTGGTGACCCCCCCCAACCATAAGATAATTTTCATTGCTACTTCATAACTGTAATTTTGCTACTGTTATGAATCGGGTGACCCGTGAAAAGGTTGAGACCCATAGGTTGACAACCGCTGTCTAGTGGCTACAGTGGGACTCAGTTCCCTCGTTTCTTAGGAAAAACAGTATTTGTATCTTCCAAATGATCAACTCTGAAGAGTGATATAAATAGAAACAAGAATCTTACCTGAGTAGAGGGTTTGGCCAATCAGAAAATCAAACCTTTCTCCATCCAGATTTTTTTTGCTTTGTGGGGGAAAAAGAAAGGATTTGACTGAATCTAGTCCTTGACAATGTTAGACCAACAGAAGCCCAGGTGGCAAATTTTGTGTTCATGAGTTGTCTCGTGCACAGGGTTCAAATAAAACAGAAGTTACTTCGGCTGGCCTTTGAACTCAGTTAAACTTAGGCCTCAGGAAGGAGGGGTTTTGAAAGCCTAAAGGAATACAGGTGAACAGAACAGGCCAGTGGATTATGGGTTCAGAAGAGGCAGTGCAGGTTACTTCTCTTAGTAACAGTTACTCATCACCTGTTGACATTTTTTGTGTGGCTTGAGCAAGTTTACAGAGCAAACTAGTTTCCCATTCAGTGGTTGATACATTGTGTCTCAAATCTCACAGCACACTTCCCACTTCCTCCCTGGGCTCCCCACGCTTCTTTCCTGCCCTTCTGGTCTCCGCTGGTTGCGCACGTTCCTCTCAGGTGTGGTTGTTCAGGTGGGCTTATTTGGGAGCCACGTGTGCAGTGGAAGGCCCTCGCCTAGAAGCTCTAGGGAAGATGTGGCTTCCATAAAGATTACATATAGCCTTGGAAACACTCAGAGTTGGCGTCGACAGTAGTGGTTTTAGCTTGGGAGTAAGAGCTGAAGGCTTTAGACCGTGCTAAGCAGGAAGTTACCAGATTGGTTGTTGAACAGAGCATAGAGGGTCTCAAGTAGTCCTCACGAGTCCTTTTCTCACACCTGAAGTTGTCCGTATAGCAGACTGCATATGAATTCTGGGTGTCCCATTTACAGTGTTTGACCCTTAGACTTTCTACTTCAAATTCTTCATTATAAGTTAAGGGGATATTACCTACCTGAAAAGGTTGTGAGGTTTAAATGAGTTAATAAAGGGATTTTAACATCTGCTACATAGTAGGTATTGTGTTTTAGTGATTATTTTCTACCTAGTAGTTCAACTTAGAACCTGACTAAGCCCTAGTTCAGGGAGGAGATAAATAGGGCTGAAGGTGTGACTCAGAAAAGACAAAGAGGTGGGTGGAATGCCCAGAAGCCAAGAGGAAGAACAATGAAGAAATTAAAGGCACATCCCTCACAAGCCTCCAGCACCACTACTCAGATCTTTACCCCCTGGATAACAACAAAGCCTTGTTTCTGCTAGCTCGGTGGCAGAGGGCCATGGTGACACACCTTGGCATGAGAATAGGCAGCAGGTCATGTCGTTTGGCATCACAAAGAACACTATTAAGAGCACTGAAGGTAAGCCGGTTGATTCTGAAAGCTCCTGAAAATACCAAAAAGGGAGTAAGGGAGAAACTGTTTTGAAACTGTGTGTGGCAGGGGCTGTACAACAGTGCTTGCTATGACTGAACTACGGAGTGGCAAGATGTCTGGATTAGGTGCAAATAAAACAACCTGAGAGAAAGGGGACAGTCGGAAGCCCTAGCACCTGCTGGGTATGGCACTCTGGAGCCTCGGTGGTTGGAAACACCCATGTTTGGACAGGTTTCTCCTGTTCTTTGGGTGGTGAATGCAAAAGGGTGCCCTTAAACTTCATGTTCTTTTATCACCAAAGGGCCCCCCCAATCTAGATCTGCCGAGAAGCTGGAGGGCCAGCCCTTCAGGAAGGAAAAGAAGGCAGACAGCTCATGACCTCACTCCCAGCTCCCTCCTCCCCAGCAAGGCTTCCTGTCCCTTCCTTCTTTGCCAGCAGGTAGAGATGTGACCCAAGGTTGAAAAACACATAACAACGGTCTCAAATGACTTAGATTTAATCATCGGAAGCAAACTAAATGGGAAGCTGACAATGGAGAATTATGTGTCAGTGCCTTTTGCAAACTGAGCCAGGACAGAAGGGACTGGGGGCTGCCCCCAACCCGATCCCCTTCCAAACAAAGACGTCCACAGTGGCCTTGGCCTCTGGCTCAGGGACGGAGGAGGCGGTGCAGGCTGCGTGTTGAGTCGGCTTGCCCAGCACTCACTCCTGGCCAGCATCAGGAGCCCCTCCTTGCCGGTTCTGGTCATCGCCCTTCTTCTTGTGGCCTGAGACGATGTCATCAATCCGCAGCAGCAGGACTGCCGTCTGGGAAAAAACCATAGCCCCAAAAAGGTTAGCCGAAAAGAGAAGGACATTTATTTCCTTTTAACCACATCACCTAGCTCCTTCCACCAAGTTACCATTCTATCTGAAATCTACCGTTCCAGCGTCTTGAATATAAACTGTGCTTCTCCCTAAACAAAAGGGATGAAGCTTATGTTATGCTGTTAGCCCCCTCCCGTTTGTTATGCGCTAAGGACAACAGTAATAAACCCCCACTGCCGTGAGGCCATCCTGACTCACAGTGAAACTACAGGACCACCCAGGACTGCCCCCTAGGTTTCTGACACTCCATCCAGGGGCAGCCAGCCTCGTCCTTCTCCTGTGGAGCAACTGCTGGGGTCTGTGGCACCCACCTGCCTGCGAGCAGCCCAGGGCCCAACCGGCAGCACCAAAGGACCTTTTAGAGCAAGGAGGAGGGAGAGCCTCAAGAGGAGCAGATTCGGGGCAGGGGTCCAAACCAGTTTGAATGGTTCAGTCATGGCAGAGGGAAACGAGCATTCTGGGCTAGCCTGCCTGTGGGATTTTGACTCTAGTGGTCATCATGCAGGGGTGTCTGGCTTATGATGGTATTTTGGCCAGCCGCCATTTTTGAGCTAGGCACCAATACCTGCTTCCTGCCAGGGTCAAAATGGCACTCAAAAAGGATCTGGTTGCTGTTATCAGCCACGACTGAACCGTTGTGATGGTCTGGTTTGGGGGACAGTTTGCCTTCAATATTCCCTCCCTCAAAGACTGGCGCGAACACACTGGTTTCTGCAGTGGGTGCCTCACCTCCACTGCCGTCTTGTATGTTTGTAGCTTCACTGCCAGCGGTTCCCAGATGCCCAGCTCTTTCATGTCCACCAAAGTACCGGTCTCCCCATTCACACCCCAAGTCTCACAGTTCTCCTGGGTGTGCTTGGCCTGCAGGGTAAGGACGCAAGCAGGCGAAGTGAGAGAACAAACACGGGAAAAGCCCGCCGGCATGCAACATCAGGCTGAAAAGGATGCCCACAGGCCTGGACTGGAAAGGGAACAGGGAACATAGTAACAGCAGCAAGTCAGAGACGAGGGGACGGACTTCAAGGAACAAGCCTCCCAGAAACACTTGGACAGACTGGTCGGAACCACCAGCTTAGACCAGACAGACAGCTTTCCTTCTTCCATGGAGCGAGCGAGCGAGAGAGAGGAACTCACCCGAAGGGAGGTGAGCAGACGGATGGTGCTGGCCCCACAGTTCTGGATGAGGGTCCGAGGGATGACCTCTAAGGCCTGGGCAACAGCCCTGTATGGCCACTGCTCCACACCAGTCATGGCCTTGGACTTTTCTGTCAGTGCATGGGCCACGGCCATCTCAGAGGCGCCTCCTCCTGGCACCAGCTGAGGGTCCAAGAGGACATTGCGACACACTTGCATAGCATCCTGGAGGTTTCGCTCCACTTCCTTGGGGGAAACAAACACATACTATGAAGCCAAGGCTCGATGACTCAGGGGCAAACCAGGGCCACCACAGGACTTCCTGAGAGCCAGGGTCAATAAACCAAGGAGGGCGCCGAGAACCTCCATGGGCAGGGCAGGTGTAACCTATGACTGAGTGGTAGGGGTGGGGTATGTGGAGCTAGACTTTCACTGATCCTGCTGGAGCTGTACCCTACGGGGAACTTCCCTTCCCAGGGGTGTCCTTTAGGAGGCTGCAAGGGGAAAAGGGAAGACGTGGAGATTCCCCAGTGAACTCTGAATATGTGCAATGACCTATTCTCTCTGGCGTCCCACTGCCGCAGCTGACTCACCGAGAGGATCTCTTTGCTGGCTCCCCGGAGGAGAATGGTGCAGGCCTTGGGGTCTTTGCACTCAGTGATGAACGTGAAGTACTCATCTCCAATTTTCTTGATTTCCAGGAGGCCTGCTCCTGTCCCGACGTCATCTTCTCTCAGTTCCTCTGGTCTGCTGGCTATCCGGGCCCCACAAGCTCTATTTGGGGGTGAGAGTTGAAGAACCAGATTATATCAGGTACCTGTACAGTCTCCCTTGTCTCTAGGGTCTGTGGCTACGAAGCAGGGTACACGTGATTGCTGAAAACATTTCTACATCACTTGAGAGAATTTGGGTGCATGGTTCTAAAAAAAAGAAAAAACTTTCAAACCGATACAAAGTTTCCTTTAACAAATTTGGTTTTGCCAGATACATTTTGTTGCAAACACAAATGCTACCTAATATCACTTACATATAAAACAAGCAAATGTATGGGGAAAAGATTACCAGTGGCTCTACCTGGGCCACCAGGAGTCGGCAGTTGCTTGGACGGCGGGGGGTGGCTTACAGGAGGGCCTGTAATCTGTGTTCATGGTGACAACATGATTTGAAAAGGGCAGTAGTCATGGTTGCACAACATGAAGAATATGATCAATGTCACTGAATCATACATGCAGGAATACAGACTACACTGGCAAGTGTCCACTTATCGCCTCACAATTAAAACAACAACAAAACAGCCAGAAGGAGTGCCATCTGTGAAGAGACATTGGCAGGTGTGGAGACGCAATCTAAAGCTACATAAACACGTGGGAGGACGCAAAATCGAAGAACTGGGCTCTGCTCCTGCATTCACAGCCACCCAGTACAGACTACTCTGGAAAACTCCTTCAGAAGAAGCGCATCGTGACAGCTTAGTTCATGCAGAGTCACACGGTGACCAGAGAGAGGGCGGCTTTCACACAATGAAGCAACGTAATGGACACCTGCCCGGGAAGTGATCACAGATCTCAACCACAACGCAGAAGAGGCTCCGGCAGTGGGTAACTGCTGGGCTAGGGTGCTTGAGGGCGGGATGGGAGACAGGCAAACCCAGACACTCTCTCCACCTAAAACTGACCTGGCTGGTTGTACCCTTCATTAAGCCTTTTCAGATAACGATGTCAATGACTACACTAGACAAACACAAAATTGACAGCCATGGGAAGGGAAAAGCAGTATTTTAACCTGGCCTACTCACCTGGCGATGCGATTGTTATCTGTCTTCCGGACTCTGCGAATGGCTGTAATATTGGCCCGCATGAGGTAGTGCTGCGCTAGATCTGCAAACCCCAAAGCAGAAGTGTGAAGCTGGAAGCAAGGACTCTGGATTCGGGCCTGGTCTCCCCAACGTACCCTAGTCATGACACATTCACTGCGTTCGTTCGGATTACACCCCCACATTCACCACTTCTACTTCCTCAGAGGCAGGCGGGGCCACGGAGCCCTACCTGAGATGCCCTTTTCCGTGATGACAACGTCGGGCTTCAGCTGGATGATGTCCTCACAGAGCTGCTGGATGTATTCCTCTTCCATTTGGAGGATTCGGGAGAAGTCTTCCTCTCGTGTGATCTCGATGTCAGTCTGTGTGGCAAAGCAAACGAGCACATTAAGGAACTGCTGAATCCGTTACGCTGTAAAGGCCTCTCCAACTATTACACCCATCATCCAGTCCTCAGATCCAGAAAATCCAAGTAGAATGCTATCACTTCACTAGGTTAAGGTGCAGCTTCCATCTAGTTCAACCTCTCCATTTCGTCATGAAGCATCAGGAACTCAGTGCCGCGCCAATCAGTGGAGCAGGCCTAGAAAGGTCTCTGGCCACCCAATTCAGTGTTACTTCCGTCCAGCCATTGCGCCCACTATTTTTAGCCTCAGTTCTTTCCCTCGGTTAAATCTTGATTCTTGTTCTCAGGATCAAGCAATTCAGACTCAGTGGGCACAGGACAGGACAGGACAGAAAACGACCACCACATGGTGATTCCTAGGCTCCCATCTTTGCGGGACCAGAGCACCCTGTCTTTTCTCCTAGAAAAGTGGGCTGGAACTGCAGACTTTTCGTCAGCAGTTGAGTACTTAGAGTTGAGCACTGTTTAATAAGAGTCAGTGACTCTGTATCATCGGCGGATGAAGCCTGGGAGTCTCGTGGCCTCTGGCAGTTCTCCTGCAGCACTCGGAACTAACAACGCCAACCCTATGCTCTCCTGATGTGCTAGGGAAGGTGACTGGATGTGGAAGGCAAACCAGCACCGGTTCCAATCCTGATTTGTGTATCTCAGGTCAGTAACCTAATTTCTCTAAGCTTCAGATCTCTCACCCGTAAAAGAGTCAATACCAACTATTTTTAAAGGCTGGCTGGCTGAAGCCGAGAGAATGTGTGCAAAGAGCATTAATGCCAAGAGCAGGCACACAACTACCACCCATTATTTACCTGGGCCTACCAGGAGCTGGAGCCTCACAGGCACTTTGAGGAGTCTCACCTGGCTTTCTCCCTTCTTGTACTCCAGGGAGGAGTCCAGCAGCACGATGCGGGGGTTCTTGATAAAGCGCCGCATGCGAGGATGTGTCACATCCTTGTTAATCATGACTCCGCGTAAGACACAGGAATCTTCAATGATGCCCCCCGGTATCTGCGCGAAAGAAAGGAGCCAACTTCTCAACCTCTTCCCCGCGGTTATTTTTCACGTACCTTTCCTCCACGAGGAGCCCAATCCTACAGTGTTACAACCACATTTTCTCCTTCACTAGGAAGCACGCTAGTCTGGGGCCATGCCATCGGTTTGGAGGTCAGCTGAGCCCAGAGAAGTTCAAAGATTTGAAAAGATTCGAAAAAAGGGCTCAAGGTTCTTCTTCCTTTAAAGACATGCTCACAGAAATGTATGCTTGTGGCACCACCTACTGGCCATAAACAGTTACGGCTACTTTTTATCTCCCGTTTACTGAAGACCTTTTGCCGTCATAAATGTGAGGACCTGATTAGCACACGTCTACAGCTTTTGTTAAGATTCACATCCTGACAGTGCTGATAAGTGTGCAAACATGGAACACCAAAAAGTCTTTCCCTGGACCTGGCACATCTGATGTAGGCAGCGGCAGCAGTTACGGCAACACCACCACGTCTGGAAGTTCTTGACTTCCCTGTAGGGTTTAGCTTTCTAGGCGTTCTTTCTGGTTCTAACTGAAGATCTCTTGTTCGGATTTGAACCTATTTCCTCAAGTGGATGGCACATGCTATGAAGTAATTTGTCTCCAAAGTACACAGGAAGCATTACCTTCTCCACTCTAGCGTATTTCTTGATGTCAATCTCCTTCCGCCCGTTCTCCTCACACTGGACAGTTTTGACCGCATCCAGGGCTATGTTGCAAGCCAAGCTGGCCCACCGACTGATGGCTTTGGTGGTGATGGAGCTGTTGATGATGTTCAGCATCATGTCACGGTCATTGATGTCGACAGGAGTACTAGGAATACAGAGATAGGGAGCAGGCTCAGCAGGGATCTGGGCTACTCAAAGACAACTCCCGTCTCTATCTTGAGACTGCCCTCGGCCGAGACACAGAGGCAGGGGCATCTGCTCCTTTGTGGAGAGCTATAAGGAGCACGGTGAGGTACACTTAGACATCTAGCTTCCACTCCTCAAAGGTAATTCAGAATGCCTCCGTTATCTTCCCCATGGGACAACTCTTCATAAAGAGGTTAGGTGAAAACTAATTTACCCTTTCCTTCTGCTTCTACCTTTGAAGACTTGGACCAGACACATTTCGTCTGACATCTTCTCCCCTAACAGCAAATTCTGTGAGTGCCTCTTGAGAGTCCCCACCAGTTTGCACTAGCTTCATTTTGAACACTGACCAACTCTCTTCTCTCTAGAGTTGTAATACGTGGTGCGAAATGGTGACTGGCTGCTCCCTCCCACAAGATGATAGCGTCTGAGGTCGAAAGCGGTCAGAAGAAAAATGAGAAAGAGCTACAGAAAGGTGGCCGGACTGCGCCCTGTCAAAGGTAGGCACTGCATCAACAGTTCCCACCGAGTTCCGGCTCTCACAAGTTTCACTGTCTTCAGCACCATAAAAAGAAGTCCGAGAGACCTTGAATAACATCTAGCCCAAACGCTCACCCACTGTGGGCTCTTTTGTGGCAGTGCAAGACACACACAACACACCAGTAAGTAGTTGTTCAGTTATAGATTTGAAAAGAGGCAAGCTTTCCAGAAGTGTTATCTAAGAGAAATTACACTGATCTACAGAAGCAATTATTACAGAACCCCTGAATGACCCAGTTTCACACACTCACTAAAAACTTTGGACACTTCCAACATTCTTGCGTATTTTTTTCACATCAAACACTTCATTCTCTAAGAGTCTTAAACAAGAGACGTCACTATATACTTCCTATTTCTTCAGTGGGCAGCCTAAAACAAAACTCACCAAGACGCTAAACAGCTATGTGCCCTGTGATCTCACCATGTTAAACAAACTAACAAACAACCTTTTTTTATTTTTTCAAACAAAGTTTTAATCATAGGCACTACTTTTTGAGACATCCCATTATGCCACGATTTAACTAATATTCTCCAAAGTTAAAAATCATGTATTTTTATACTCTTTTCATTGTCCAGTTAGCAAATGCAAACTAATGGTTAGGTTCTTCGATTATGAGGCAGGCTCCAAACAGCACTTTCAGCCTGGACTTCGGATGTTAGTGGGAACCTGCTCTCATCCCACACGGTACTTTCTCGTACAGATTTAACTCCGCAACACCACACTCCTGTCGGCTCTGCACTCTTGAAAGGGGCAGAGTTTATTTACTATATTCCCGTGCAGTGCTGACATGGAAACTTGCAGACAACGTGCAAGCAAAAGATATTTTCAAGACCTAATCCTAGCTCTTCTTTAGATCTCTATGTTCCGATCGCGTGCCATTTCCCAGGACTTCTATTTTTAGCTCCCTTTAAAAACAACAAACAAAAACATGCTATTGTAGTCTGGGTGGCGTTGACAGAGCACGTTATTTTCCACGTAACAATCAGACTTTTGTTTTGTGACAGTAGTTGCAACGGTGCTTTCCCCTCCTTCCCTGCGCTCCTCAGTCCCTCACCCATCTTCGCTGCCCCCTCCTGTCCCCGGAACTTTATTTTTGGCAAATGCTGTCAGTTTGGTCGCATGTAGCTGACTGTTCTGTGAAGTATTCCTCCTGGCTGTTACTGTTCACTTTACAGACTTGTCTATTTGGCTGAAAGGTGATCTCTGGGGGTGGGTTCAGTTTCAGGTTATAAGGTTTGTTGAAGGGCCATAGTCAATCTTGAGGTTTCTCCCACCAATCTCTATCCGACTAATAATGCTGTTCTTTTTTCAAAAAGATGATTTTAAAAATTGTGTTGTGCTCAGGACCTCTGTGGTGACCCCAACTAGAGTGGTCGGCTGTGGCAGCCGAGCACGGTCTAGTCCTCTGGTCTCAGACCAGTGGAGGCGGGAGCATGCGTCCCATTTGTCCTTTGTACTCACTGCTTCCTTGAGTCTCTGACTGTCTTCACTGTTTGGTCCAATCAAGAAAGGACCCAAAGTTGTACCTTTGACGGCTCCCTCCTCACACAAAGTAACACAAAAAATATAAACCACTGATGTGTGGATGTGTGCAGTGCCTGGCTGGCCTCCCAGAAGAGCAAGCACCTGTTCCTGGCCCTGCCAATACCTGATTTTCTTAAGGGTGCTGATCATATCATCCAAAGCCTTCCGGTAAGCACTGATCACCACTGTCGGGTGCATCTGCTGCTCTAGGAAGTGCTCAGCCACCGACAGCATTTCCCCTGCTGCAGAAGGATAAAAACACAAAGTTAACCTTATGTGCTCTGGTGGCCTGTCTGCTTTGATGTTGAAAACGACACCACCAGTCTTTCTAATTCCAGCAAGACCACCCACCATAGACAGATTCAGCAGAACTTCCATATTAAGACCGATTAGGAAAAAAGGAATGGCCATCTAGTTTCTGATGGTCTATCATCCAATATACATGTGAAAAACAAAAATAACAAAAAACCTCCAACGGGTAGGGAAATGTGGGGAGAGGGGTGGTGTTGGGGGAAGAACCTGTGGGGAAGGGAGAGAGCAGTCAGTGTAAGATATGAAAATACAATAATTTATCAAGGGGTCATGAGGGTGGGAGTGGGAGAGGGAGGGTAAAAAGAGAGCTGATACCAAGGACTCAAATAGAAAGTACATGTTTAGAAAATGATGATGGCAACCTATGTACAAATATGATGATGGATGATTATAAGAGCTGTAAGAGTCCCCAACAAATTCTTAAAAACAAAAAACCCTCTTACAACCTAACAACAAAAAGGTAAAGCAAACTGCCCAATCAAAAAACAGGCAAGGAATCGAACGTTTTATCAAAGAAGACATTCAATGGCCAACAAGCACAAGCTATTCATAGAGCCATTAGAAATGCAACTCATCGAGGCGTTGCTACCTCCTTTCCATTAGAGTAGCCACACCAGAGTTGATGCCAACTCCTGTGGCCCTTACAGGGGTCTGAGACTGGGGTCTTGCTGCAAGCAGACAGCTCACCATTTTCCTGCAGAGAGGTCGACAGATTTGAACTTCGGACCCTGTCTGTGGTTAGCAGCCCAATGCTTAATCCACAGTGCCGCCAGGGCTGCTTCCCTATCAGGATAGCAATGCTTATTTCAAAACAACCACCGCCAAGGTTGTAGACACTGTAGAATGGTTGGTAGGGTCTCGGCTGACAAGTCTCAAACGTCCGACCAAGAACCACAATCGGACCCGCAACCCCAAGCCTAGCTCCACACCTACACGCCAATGTTCACAACAGTGTATCAGTGCTGATTGGGCACAAATGTACATATACACACAGTGAGACCAATCAGCGTTAAAGAAACACCATTTGCAAAAAGATTATACTGGACAAATTCATATTTCTATGAAAAAGCAACTGCACAAAGCACAAAAATGACTAATGGTTATCAGAGTTGGGGGGAGTAATTTGTGCTTAGGGGTCACTGAGTTTTTGTTACGGTGGTAGAATTATTTGGAAAAGGACAGTGAAAATGGTTACAGAACTACAAATGTAACCAACATCGCGGACTTGTAGAAATGATTGAAACGGTGTATATTGTGCATCATAGGTTTTCACCACAATTACAAAACCAAAACAACTTATACATCACAACAGACTATTGTCTGGTGTATTGCTGGAGCAGGGGTCCTCAAACTTTTTAAACAGGGGGTCAGTTCACTGTCCCTCCGACCCGTTGGGAGGGCCGGACGATAGTTTTTAAAAAACTATGAACAAATTCCCATGCACAGATCTTATTTTGAAGTAAAAAAACGGGCCAAAAACACCCGCCAGGCCGTATAAATGTCCTCGGCGGGCCGCATGTGGCCCCCGGGCCGTAGTTTGAGGACCCCTGTGCTGGAGGATGAAGCCCCATGCCAGAAGGCACCACACAACAGCCCCAGTTGCAACACATCAAGAAAATGAAGATGGTGCAGGGGCTCACACTAAAATAAGACTGCTGCAATTTGGAGCCACCTTGAAAGCAACCAACGTCACTATTCTACAGTTTACACTTTGTACAAGCAAATTCACTAAGCAAACATCCTTACCTGATCTATTTTATTATTACTTCTTTCTTCATGTCTGTAACAAAATTTATCCCTGAGCCTCAGCAGAGAGGAACAGGGCCCATGAGTTACAGTGTCTCTGTGGCAGCCTTTTGGGCCAGTGCCGGCCATGGGAAAGGCAGGCACTGAATTTGACACAGCTGCAGAGATCTATTCCAAATGGTCAAAGATTGATCCCCAGTTTACCTGTGGGTCCTGATATTTCTAACTAAACATGCTCGTGTTAAAAATATAAAAACAAAGGAGGGAAAAACAAACAAAATTCCCCAAGATTCTAAAATAGAAAGAAAAATACATGAAGAGAAATTGACATGCTTGGAATTACTGTAACATCTACGGATCCAGTCAAACTACAAGTACTTAAAAACCTAAAGGAAAAACTTTATACTTAGAAGACCAACCATAAAAATGTGCAAAATGTCCTCTGCGTAGGGCATTAGTGATATAAAGTCCATCTTCTTCTAATTTCTTGCACACGCGTGACTAAACAAGCTTAAACGGACATGTAGATATCCTAATGCAAAAAGTCCTTCACTCAAATTGTCCATGTTTGACCTCTACACTGCATTCCAATTCCTGAGTAACTATCGTGCATATTAAAGATTGATAAATATTTTAGAAGATAGTTGATAAGATGACTTAGAAAAGGATGTGCTCTGTTAAGTTAGAACAGTAATACAGAAACAAAGGTATCTTTAAGTATGTTCAAGTTTAGGATTTTTTAATCACCCTTAAAATCTAAGAAACCTAGAATCATGGGTTATCGAATTCCAGGAAATTCAACTATATAACATTATAGAGTTCTGCCTGGTATCTAACCTTAAATTTTACAAATGAAACAATGAATCAAAAGGTAAGATTAAGTGCAAAGCCTTTTCTCCTACTTCATTCTAAGGTGAAGATGCCATCCACGTTTTTCTTTAACGTTCAGAACGCAACTCACTGAGTCAATGCTGGTCTACAGCTACCCCATGAGCAGGGCAGAACTGCCCATGTGGGTCTGGTTTCTGAGGCTGTCTGTAAGGGGCAGAAGGTCTTGTTCTCCTCTCCGGGAGGGGCTTGTGGTTTTGAACTAACCTAGTGGTTAGCAGCCCAATGAGTAACCCACCACACTACAAGGGCTCTTTAAATCTCAGAACTAAAAACAACAAAACTCACTACCTTCGAGTCAGTTCTGATTCTGGTTGACCCTAGAGGACAGGGTAGACTTGTCCTTGTGAGTTTATCACTCTTTACAGGAGTAGGAAACCTCACCAGCGCTGGGCTTTTGAATCTCTGACCTTGTGGTTAACTGCCCAACTGGTAACCACTGTAAGTACCAGAGCTCCTCAAAGTTCAGAACTAGCCATGTAATTCTCAATACTCCAACGAATTGGTTTTAATGTAAAGAACTGTGATTAGTAACTCAAGTCAAATTTCCACCCCACTCACTTTGATGACACAGCCCAAGGCAATAAACATAATTTAAGGTGTTGCTTAAAAACAATCCTATTATAATTTTGTTGTAAGGGCTCTATCATCTTGGGCATGTGGGTCAACACTATAAATTTGCATCCATTAATTTAAAACAGTATTTTTCTCGTTCTCTACCAATCTGTTGCTGCAATTTTAAAAAATGCAAGAAAAAGAATGTTGGGAAACTAATTGTGATAGCAATTGTACAATTCTGCTTGATGTGTTCGAATTACGCAGTGATATGACATATATTAATTCCCCATAAATAACAAATAAATGAGACCAAGAAATGTGAGGGTGGGGGATGCTACAATCATTCTGACATCAATCTGAATCCTATACAAGCAACAATTCTCAGTCAAAGTATATGTAAAGTTTTCTGGAGCGTGATCTTTTTATGATCCCACACAAAAGAAAAAGATTAGTTATTAAAACTAAGAATGTTAGTTATTTCACTTAAATTTGCACAGCTCACATTCTGTACTGTTCTATACTGATTAGGGAGAATACATGGAAAGTTAATATGCTACTCACTTATTTATAGTTACAGGATCATTAAAAGAATTTCCTTCTCAAAATACAACACATTTCTAACAAAAATGTTCACATTTCAACCCCATTTTCTTAACTGCCTCCTAATCTCCTCTTACCAAGAATGATTACTGATGTTGTCCCATCTCCAACCTCTTCATCCTGGGTCCGGCTAATTTCAATCATAGACTTGGCTGCTGGATGCTGAACTTGAATCTGAAAGGAAAATGTAGACTGTCATTAAATGGCCCCTACTACTTGGACCAACTCGTGAGCTTCTTGCTTCCATACTTACTTCCTTACCACACTCAGGAAACTTTTAAAATACCCTAGCACCCCCCCCAGCACCACACACACACTACCTAACCAAACTAGGTTCTCAAGTGCCTTTCTGTTAGGCAAAAGGCATTATGCTAGCTCAAAGATCCAAAACTCCTCCAGGGCAGAACAGCACCTTTTATCTTACTTACTGGAAGCACCGTCTGCATATAGCTATACAAATTCTATATATGAGGGGTTTCAAAAAGCTTGTGGAAAAAATGGAATTAAAAGACATGGAATTTTTCCATGAACTTTTGGAAGCCACCTTGTATTTATAAACTATTTTTAAAACAAAATGAAATGTGCACCTCTCGAAGAATGGCATTGCCATCATTGGTCATCACAATGCCTCCCATTGGGTCCAAAAGCATCTAAAACAAAAGCAAAAGTTATTATTTGAGTGTCCTGGAAAACCGAAAGGGAACATTTGGAATTGAAGAGCTTTAGGCTGAGATAAGCCTACCTTCATCATGGACTTGGGTCCCAAACATGTTCGGATGATATCTGCAATAGTCTAATGGAAAGAAAGCATAACGCATGTAAGCACAAAACAGTGGCCAGCGTTTCGGGGGCGGGAACAGAACAACATACAGTGCTTTAATTCAAACAAGGACACTTGTAGACTAAGGTTGACAACAACTTGAGACAGTGTGCTCTGTAGCTAGCCACTCCCCCACGCCCTGTAGACAGCTTACAGAGTGAACATCTGTATTATCCATACACACATACATTTTGTAAGAGTAAAGGGAGAATGGCTCTCTGGAATGCTTTGCAGCATTCCAAAACACTTGTAAGTTCACATCAGTGTTCTCCATAGTATTCCACACCACCCACCAAGTGTAGGGCCACTGTCACTCTTTCAGTCAAAAAAATCCAAATAGCTCTCCAGTGCTGCTTCCCGGTTCAGACTAGACCGGAACGTGTACACAGGTGTACAAAGGGATGGGAGCTCACGACACACAGGATCCAGGAGTGGGAATGGTGATACCAGAAGGGTAAGAGGAAGAAGGGGAGAGGAGGGGATAAAGGGGGAACCGATCGCAATAATCGATACATAACCATACACCCCTCTACAGGGGGGAGAACAACAGAAAACATGGGAAAAGGGAGACAGCGTTCGGTGTGAGAGATGAAAATAATAACAATGTACACTCTATCGGGGGCCTATGAGGGTGTGGCGGGGCGGGGAGGGAAAAAAGCTGGTACCAAGTGCTCAATAGAAAGTAAATGTCTAGAAGAGAATGATGGCAACACATGTACAAACATGCCTGATTCAACTGATGTATGGATTGTGGTAAGAGTTGTCCGAGCCCCCAATAAAATGATTTAAAAAAACAAACAAACCCAAATAGCGATCCCACATCTACCGTGGACAATAGGAATACAAAAGGGAACTTATATATAGGCCTTCTTCCTCAAGTAACTCAGTCTAGCCCGGGAGACAAGCAAATGAAACATATTAAAATACATAGCAATAGAATTATATTGAGGTTAAACTATCAGCTGAGTTCAAGAAAACCAACAACTGGGGCTAGGACATTCCCACCTCCAACTCCCCAAACTTGGCAAGTCAACATTTCCTAGCACAATTACACACTCCAGAGCAGTGGTTCTCAACCTGTGGGTTGTGACCCCTTTTTTGGGTGGTGGTGTCAAATGACCCTTTTATATGGGTCACCTAAGACCATCAGAAAACACAATACTTCCAATGGTCTTAGGAACCGACACCCTGCTCGGGTCACATGCAGATATGCCCACATACGAGTACCCAGCGTAAAGACTGTTACCCATACTACACCATGCTTCAAGACAAAATTTAATTTATATGTAAAAAGAAATAAATTTTTCATGATATATAATTACATATTGTTTTGTGATTAATCACTATGCATTAATTATTTTCAATTTGTAACAATGAAAATACATCCCGCATAATCATCAGATAATTTACATTACGATTCATAGCAGTAGCAAATTACAGTTATAAAGTAGCAATGAAAATCATTTTATGGGGGGGGAAGGGAGGAGAAAAATGAGCTGATACCAAGGGCTCAAGTAGAAAGCAAATGTTTGGAGAATGATGATGGCAACAAATGTACAAATGTGCTTGACACAGTGGATGTATGTATGGATTGTGACAAGAGTTGTACGAGCCCCAATACAATGATCTAAAAAAAAGAAAGAGAATAATTTTATGGTTGGGGGTCACAACCTGAGGAACTGTATTAAAGAGTGGAGGCATTAGGAAAGTGGAGAACCACTGCTCTAGAGTCTACAAAGAAATCCTGGTGGAACAGTCAGGTAAGTGCTGGACCTTTAACTATAAGGTTGGTGGTTCAAAGTCAGGAGCGGTTTTATGAAGAAGAGGCTGTATATTCCTGTAATCATTTTGCAAGGCCTTGGAAATCCTACATAGGGTCACCATGAGTCAGAATTAACTCACTGGTGCAAATTTGGGGGTTTTGTGTTTTTTTTGGAGTATGCATGGGAATCAACTCTACAGCAGTCTTGTTTAAAAGTCCGGAGACAGAAACTTACCAAACCCACTGTCATAGAGACAACCCCAACTCACGGCGACCCTATTTAGGGTTCCGGAGTCTGAATCTCTTCGGCACCAGCCTCATCTTCCTCCCAAGGAAGCACGGGCTTTTTGGTCAGCAGCCCACTTAGCCACTAGGGCTGCTCCTTAGGAAACTCACCATTACAAGGGGCTGTAGGAACACTAAGAGCAGCTGGAGGCAAATATACAGACGCTTAAAAGACAGGTTACCTTGGCGGCATTGATGTTTCCAGACTGAACTTTCCTTCCAGATTCACGCTTTGTGTTCTGGCCTAAAACAGGGGAGAAAAAAAATCAAAAACCAAAACTGGGTTTTGGGATTGTTTTAGTGTTCACAAGTTAGCCAACCCCCGATCTTTAAAAACAAGCATACCAGGTTCATGGATGCACACATAGATGAAGCCCTATCAAATGTACCCTTCAGTGTGCACAGCTTAGAACATGTCAGTGGTACCTCAAAAAGGAAATACTGTAAATAAATCTAGGCACTTACCTCTTTCCTGACTACAAGCCCTGGATGCTAGCAAATAACCCACAGCGGTTCAAAATTCTTGGGATCCTCGTCACTCTCGTACTATTCGAATAGCAGGGCCCATAACCGGAGACCCTCAAATGCACCTCAGTGGGAAGGGGAGCACAGGTCAGAGAGGCAAGGGGAAGACTGCATTTCTGGCAGGGGAGAGCCTTCATAGTTTATCACCAAAGTCTCAAAAGGCTGACGATCCCAAGTATGAATCATTGCTTTAGAAGAAAGGGAAAAAGAAAAAAGCGTTCACTTTTTCCTGCTGGTTGGGGGACTGACCACACTTGGGCAGTCCTAGCATAAATGAGAATGTGTCTTTACAGCCTCAAACATGTGCCAGTTTGGAAGAGAAATTATGTAGTTACCCCATGCTTGGAGGCAGTGAGGGTGCCTCCGTGAACTACACACTACCCTAAGAAGCAACTCTGCATTTTAATAGGGAGCCTGATCCATTAGAGCCATTAATGCCAGGGCACAGCCCTGGAATGGGCTACACAAAAGCACCACACATAGCAGGGGCCCTCTTAATGGAGAAGACAAAGCAAGATAACTAACCCACTATAATACCCTATCTATTTCCCTTACCATTTGAATCCAGCAGTCATTCTTTCAGTCCAGTCCTATCGAATGTCAACACTCTCAGGGATGACACACAGGCAATTGGAATTAAAAACCTGCATGGATCTACAGCCCACCAGAAGAAAGGGCGCCCCTCTCCCAAGGCAAAGTCCAATTTCTCTGGAAACAGTTACCTCTCAGGTATATGGAGAGAAAAAAAGTGGATGAAAGTTCTGAACGACATTCTATATACATAAGATGGGAAGGGAGGAGAAATGGCAAGTCAGGCAACCAGCAGATGGGGTTCCAAGATTGTTCATTCATCAGGAGGAAATTGGGGTTATTCCCCAAGAGTGTATATAGAAACCCTGTCCTGTAGTTTGGGGAAAGCTCAGAGGGTTAAGGGGAGGGATCCCCTGGCCAGTGAGGAAAGCAGGGACACCACTTCAGGCACAGGGTTACTGAATGGAAATTCCAGAGGAATTGCTACTAACAAGTAAGTACTGGGAAGTGATCAAGGATTCCACTCGCTGTTTGCCAAGATTGTCTCAAACAGTTTACCCTCCTATCCCAATTAAGCCTCACCGTTCTACAAAGAAATATTCGCTTTGTAACACTGGTCTAAGGACTTCTATAAGGCTAGGCCTAATTTAAAACCTGCTATCTGTTCAGCTACCCCTAGAAAACCGTGCATCGGGATGACGGAAGCGAACCTGGGCCGAGGGTGAGGAGCGGGGCATGGCGTGGGAAGGAGCCCCCGGGGGCGAGGCCACAGAAAGATAGAAGCTCGGCGAGGAAGAGTGTCAGTTGGCGTCTGCAGAAAGAGTGGGAAGAGTTTACAGGGCGAGAAGAGAAAAGCGGGAGAGGCGCTCCTTCTTACAGGAGGGTGACGACTGGGAGGGAGGCTCCGTGGCCGGGCCAGGGCGGGAGGCTGGCTGTACACTGAAAAGTACGGAGGGATGAGAGAAAGAAGGGGCCCTTCCCCGGCTTCCCCAGGACTCACTGAGCACGAGCACGGGACGATGGCCCATCATGGCGGCGCGATGCAGAGCCGGGTACCCTGAGCTAGGGGAACCGGCAGAACCTTCTGGAGAGAGAGAACCAGGGAGAAGCTCCGAAAACGCTGGCTGCTCGAGGCTTACACCTAAACCCGCTACTCTTCAGGCCTCCGCCAATCACCGCGGCCCCTTCCTTGATTAGCACCCAAACAGACCAATGGCACTCTTAGCCCCGCCCCCTACGCAAGGACGGCAGGGCAAGCTAGATAGAGAGCGCGCGATGCTGGCACTGGGAGGGCACTGGCGCTTGCGCGGTAGGATGGCCGCTCCCGGCCGCGTGCGGCGCGCAGCACAGCGCACGCGCCAACGCTCGGACAGTTGGTCGGCAGCCCGCGGCGCATGCGCGTCAACAACTGGGGCGGGTGCTGGGCGTGAGGCTTTGGATTAATTCCCCAGGTGAGGTCATGACAGTATGTCTTGTGCCCGGGTTTCTCTCGGACCGTGAAGGTCAAGGCAGGCGTGCCAGTCCGCACCCTTGCGGCCTCACCAAGGGGAGACGGCGTGGTGGGGGCAGTTCAGGGACGACCTGGCCCGTTAGAAGCGAGTCAGACCGGAGGGACAGTCCCCCGGTCCCTGCAGAGCTGGGCGGGAACGATCCTTTCCCCAGGGCCCTCTGGGAGTTGTGGTTCGTCGTCTCTGGCTCCTTGCTGGGTGGCGCTTTCCCTTCTTAGGCAATGCTGCCTACTGAGGCTGTGAGCTGTACCAGGAGGTGAGGGCTTACGTTTTGCCCGTTCCTGAAAACATTTCCTCAAGCGTTCCTTTGATGCTGCTGCCGTGTTTCTTCCCCACGTCCATGTCCCTCGCCTACCCTTCATGCTTCGTCCACTCAATGACGGCTTTGTTAGAGACGACAGCAGCAGTTCAAATTGCCGCACTGCACAGGGCAAGGACTGATGTTGCAGAAAATAAGCGTGGGGGGAGCACTCTGTTAAGATCAAGAATAACTTGGGAGGATTTTGTGGTCCATTTCTTAGGGGTCTCTTAAGGTTTCGGTCTGGCGAATTCTGGCGCTTTGAGAAAGCAATAATAGAAACTGCTTTTCCAAACTAAGGTGCCCCGGTGGGGTAGTGGTTCCGCGATTCTTCAAACACAGTAATTGAGAACCACCAGCCGTTCTGCGGGAGACGGATGGGGTTTCTACCCCGTGAAGAGTAACTCACAGGGGCAGTTCGACCCTGTCCTGTAGGGTCGCTATGAATCGGCAGTGAGTTTGGGTGTTGTTTTTATTCCCAACAGTTTGATTGGCAATTGATTTACATATCATATAATTCAATAGTTCAATCATATCACCCCCACATCAATTTTAGAGCATCCTCCTCCCCCATGGTTAAATCGCATTTAAGATGATGTGTGCAATTACAATCCATGTTAGTGCTCCCTCCCACCTCCCGTCTTTATTAGTTACTCCCGAAATCCCCTTTCCCTCTCTGAAACCCCTCTCCCTTGTATCTCCTCATATCAGTTATTCTCATTATGCACCCACTCCTCCTGTGCTTTACAGCTGGGAGACCCAACCGAAAACAATAGGAAACAAAATCGCCCTAAGGTGGTCAGGGTAAAAACATAATAGTGTACAGATAGAAATACTAATAATGCGTAAGAAGAAAAAGATCCCCCAACAATAATAAGCCCAGGGAAAACATTTCTGTCGTGGGATCAGTATGAGATATTTGCACCCAGAACCAATTCAGCTCACCTAAAAGTCATCCAGCATCATGAAATTACAGTGGTCTGCCTGATAGGCTGATCGAGACTCTTGCCTGTGGCTACAGCATATCTGCCAGCAGCTCAGTCTGACCAGATGCGCTGCAGATGGGTTTTGGGCTCCCATGGTCCCCCACAGCCTAGCTGGGGGTCGGGGGTGGGGGGGTGGGGGTGGGGGGGCTGACTGCTCCTGTAAAGATGATAGCCGAGAATGAGGAGGGCAACACATGTGCAAATGTGCTTGACACAATGGATGGATGGATAGATTGTGATAAGAGTTGTACAAGCCCCCAATTAAATGATTAAAAAAAAGATGACAGCTAAGAAACCAGACAGGGCAGTCATCGGGTGTCTATGCGTTGAAATTGTCTTAATGGCACCTAATAACAGATTATCAATAAGTCCCTCTCTTTGGCCATGAAAAAGGGACCAGTCTGAGACCTTCCGAACCTTATGAAACTGGCAATGGTGAAAATCATGTGTGGGTTGTTGATGATGTGATGCTCTGATTCCTCCCCAGGCACCACACCTGTTGGTACTCCGATGGAGCAGCGCACTAGTCAGCCTGCCAGTGGAAAAGGTGTGTGTCACAAGCCTGCTTCCCTTCCCTTCAAAGCCACGACTTCCGAATTGGGAAAATGGTTTCTGGTTGCATGTTCATTTCCCCCCGTGACTTGGTTAATTGGAAAATATTTCCATGTGGTCTGCATTCCCCACTACTTGGGGACATTGCTGTATTCCCATTGCCTAGAACTGGGTTGGTCATAGGTAGATCCTCAAAAATGATTCTTCTTTTTCTCTGTATCTCTTCTTAATAGGTAGAACAAGGCTTTGTGTCCAGGAAGCCCATAAGACATAGGGTTCACCGGAGAGAACAGACACTCCGTTTGAGTGGGACAGTCTCCTGCCCCCCTTGTGGTCAGGGAAATGCTGAGAGTATTTCCCTGACACTCCAGATCCTGCCGTCTTAACTGTAGGTTGGAGGCCAGCGCCAGTGGGAGTAGATTATTTAATGAGAGGCCTCCTCTGCCATAGCTTTGACATAGTTTGCTCGCTCACTCCACAGAGCACACATTGCAGTGGTAAAAGAGCATGACTTAGGATCTGCGAGGCCAGCATTGCCACGGCATAATTGTGAATTGTGAGCAAGTAAGTTTCTTGAAATAGCACGGGGATAATGCGGCCTACCTCGCAGGGTTTCTGTGAGAAAGGTGAGTGGGCTAGTACATATAAAGCATGTCATTTTCCCGGCCCCACCCCCTTTTGCTGCTCCCCAACCTAATCCTCTGTGGTCACTGTCTAGTCAGAGATACAGCCCCTCAGGTAGGACGGAGCCCTGGAGGTGGCTGCCCACTGAAAGGCTGCCAGCTGAACCCACCGGGCAGCTCAGAGGGAGAGATGTGGTGGTCTGCTTCCTAAAAGTGGGCAACTTTGGAAACCCTACGAGGCAGGTCTGCCTTGACCTGCCCTACAGAGTCGCTGCAAGTCAGAACCCACTGGAAGGCAGTGGGTTTTCAGCACAGATCATATGGAAAGTTTTCTAAACCTTAGCACCAGTAGAGCATGAATCCTCGGGTGCACAGGCAGGACTTCGATGATTTAGAAATTCCTTGGCCTGGAGATTCACAAAATTTCAAATAGAAAATATCTTGAGACCCGAGTTTCAGCTAATATATCCTTACATCAGCTGATACAAAGGGCTCGCACAGAAAGAAAATATTTTGAAAATTAGGATGGCAACATATGTACAGATGAGCTTGATACAATTGATGTCTAGATTGTTATAAGAGCTGTAAAGCCCCCATAAAATGATTTATTATATTTACATATATATATAAAGAAAGAATATATATATATATACATACATACATCTCCATCTCCTTACATCTGTACGTGGAGGAGGAGAGGGAGGGTTGGAAGATACACAGCACACACACACACACACACACACACACACACACACACATGTTCCCCTTCACCAGAGTAACTGACCAAGAACACAACAGGTTGCTGTTTTCCTAGGTTCTTTGACCTTCTTTCTAGGCAGGAAGCTTACTAGCCTGGACACCATCTTCTCTTCCTGGGCCATTTCTTCTTGTGCATCATGAGTAAAGGACAAGACTAAAGCATCTTCCTCCAAGTGGCCTACTTCTCGCACGAAGAGCCCCTTCCTACCTTCCACATTCAGGTGCCCACAGAGGTACCACTTCCTCAAGACACATTACTAGCTCCACGAACAAGGGTTAACAACCAACAACCAAACCAAACACAAACCAACCCCAAACCTGCTGCCATCAAATGGACTCTAACCCACAGAGACCCTTACACAGGGTTCCTGAGCTGGTGGCTCCTTGTAGGAAGCAGTCCATGGATTTGAACCACCAGCCTTGTAGCTCGTGGTCTGTGGCCCACCCGACAGCACGGCCAGAACTCCTTACGCTCTCCCAGCACGTTCTGAGGCATCATAATGTATGTGATAGCCACCTGCCATGAAGGACTGTGAGTTCCACAAGAGCAGTGACCACGCCTGCTATCCCCAGGGCACACACGGTAACATGCCTCGATGTGTATGGATTCATCCACTTTTTTTGTCTTCTTTGTTGATCTCATCGTGGCAGTGAGTTTCCTGGTCCCAGCCATGGTTCCGCTTACCTGTGCCACTTCCTTTCATCGTCCAAACTCCTCAGAAGGGCTTCCCCATAGCCCCGGTGTCCTATTCTCTGTGCTTTGCTGTAGAGCGCTCACTTATTATTTTTATTATTTTTACCTGATAGATGTTTTCAGAACAGATTTTGGTTTACGGAGAAATTGAGCAGAAAGTGTCAAGAGTTCCCATACCACTCTCCCCTGCCCCATCCAGTTCCCCTGTTCCAAACACCTTCCCTCCGGGGTGCGCTTAGTACAATTGGGAGACCAGCAGTGATACATTATGACCAGCTGAAGTCCAAGTTTCAATCAGGGCTCCAACGTTTTGTGCTTATGAGCCGGTGAGGCTCATGGCTTAATATGGCAGCTTGTCCTCAGTGGCTGACTTGGCAGTTGGATTGTTCACTGGAACTCAGAGCCATCCCTCCGGCTGTTGTTCTACACTCCCTGTTTGGATTTCCTTCTCTCACCTCAGCGTCAGTATGTCCACAGTTGCATTTTTGCTAACTGGCACCTTGCTGTGAATGACAGAACCCTGACTCAAATGCCCTTCGGTGGAAAAGAGGACTGAAAGGTTTGTGCTGTGGGGAGGGCTGCTAAAAGAGTTCGCACACCGAGGAAGAGCTGCAGAAACCAAGGCCTCAAGAGTTGGAGCCAGGGAGTCAGCATCTCCAGGTATCCAGCGCTCTCATGCCTTCTCTGTGGTCTCTACTCTCTTGCCTGTACCTGCTTCTCACAGGATGCCGGCCGGATTCAGTAGCTTTCACTTTACATCTTCCCGGCATGCACGTCAGAGGCAAGCAAGCTTCTTTGACATAGCATACATATATTGATCCCAGGGAATGACCCTGGCCCGATTGATCTCTCGTGTGCTTACTCCTGGGATCAGTCACAGTTGCCCAGGGAGAGCAGGTATCATGTGTCACATGCCGTTCCTCTTGGGAAAGGAACCTGACTGCATTGTAGCCTGGAGTCCGGAAGGGCAGGGTCACTCATCTGTCTCCAACAGGGCTCACCATCTCTCTAAACATTAGTTGTTTTCTTAAACTTTTTTGGCTAAGGTCATCTATTTTCCTATTGAAGAATCTCTTACATGTTCAACCCATTCTGTTTGATACCTATAGATTAATCAGAGTGCCATTTATAAATCATATTACCTAATCCCTAAGAGCTTAGTGGCTTTCTATTCTACTCAGGAGAAAACGGGACCATCTGAGATTTGCTATTTGTAAAGGGTTTCCCATAGCGCATCCTGCTAACCCCCTTCATCCACCCCTAATTCTAGACATTTTCCCAAGGCTCCTGACCACTCCACACATATTCTTTCCTCCTTGTCTTTGTTCATGCTAGCCTCCTTTTCTCTTGATTTGCAGTGTAGTTTCTACTCATCGAAAGCATACCTATTTTTCAAGGCCCAGTAAATATCTCCCAACCCCATGGCGCCTCCTCTGACTACTGAACTCATACTGATCCCTTCCCCCCTTTTGAGCCGCCACTTGGCTGTCCGATTGCTGCACTGTGGTGGCTTGTATGCTGCTCGAAGTTATGCCACTAGTATTTCAGATATCAGCAGGATCACGCGCAGGGAACTGGTTTCAGCAGGGACTCCAGACTAAAAGCAGACTGTGAAGAAGGAGTAGGCGATCTCCTGTGGGGTACCAGTGGCCCCCACAATCGCATGGGTCCAAGGGCCGTTGTGTAATTGAGGGGTAAAATTAAAGAGACATCAGACAAGACAAGACAGGCAAGTGATCACCTCTGGGACTGCCATGACTCCAGGTCCCAGGTGGGCCTAGAAAGAGAGACTATAGTTCCAGTAGAGGCTTATATACTCTCCAAGGCAGCGGTTCTCAACCTATGGGTCGCGACCTCTTTGGGCTTAGAGGTTATCAGCCATCTAGAGCAATCAGACCCTATAGTCTATCCCACCCTAAATAGAGCCCACTCCCTTCTGATAAGGATCATGGATTGTTCTCCTGTAGGAGAGCTCAGAGACACCTAAGGTCAAGCCAACTCGGGAGGACCAGGGTTCAGCTGCCATCTTGACCCGAGAGTCCCCCCGTCTTGCTACCTGTATGCCTTCCTGGCACGTGCATGCCTCCCTTCCTGTTGCGTGTATACCCCTAGCTCGCCCTATTGTACAACCCCTTCCTGTTGCATATCTGATTGCATGTAATTAAGGGGGCTTGCACACTCCTAAAGTGCACATAAGCCTTGTGTGGAAATATATTCTCTTTCTGCGTGGACCGGGCTGCTGAGACCATGATGGTCCCGGAGGTGAGCACTTGCATGCCTTATCTGGTCTGATGCCTCTGTCATTTTACCCCTCAATTCCACAACCGCCCCCTGGACCTGTTTTGTGCACCAACCACGAAAGCTAGTGATGAAGAAATTGAAGAATTCTACCAACTTCTATCTGAAATTGATCCAACATGCAATCAAGATGCATTGATACTATTGATGAGTGGAGTGTAAAAGTTGGAAACTAAAAGGAGAGTAGTTGGAACATATGGTCTTGGCGATAGAAACACAGCTGGAAATCACATGATAAAAATTTTACAAGACCAAGAACTTCTTCATTGCAAACACCTTGGTGGCTATACACATGGACTTTATCAGATGGAATACCTAGGAATCAAATTGCGCTCTCTGTGGGAAGAGACAATGGAGAAGTGGGTGTTTTAGGCCAGAATAAGGTCACAGGCCAACTGGAAGGGCGCATTAATTACTCATGTGCAAATTCGGTTTGAAGCTGAAGAAAATTTAAACAAGTACATGAGAACCAAAATACAACCTTGAGTCTCTCCCACCTGAGTCTAGAAAACGTCTCAAGAACAGATTTGACTCATTGAACACTAAGGACAGAAGACCCAGCAAGTGGTAGGATGACTGCAAGAACATCATCCAGGAAGAAAGCAAAATACTGGGGGGAGC